CAGTACTCATTTCAAAAGCAAAGCAAAGCACGTGGAGGCAGAATATAGGGAAGAAAAGAAAGCATCGCCCTGAGAGATGGAAGCAGCGAGGTCCCAGGTTCCATGATGCCACTAACCTTGGACAAGTTGCTTTATGTCATCTGTGAAATTGTGAAACTACGGGATAGCTGAAATCATTGTCATGTTAACAATCGGTTAATCACTTGAATTTCTACATAACTGTCAGAAATGCTAAGCACGTGGACAAAGCCTATGATTGGTCTACTTCACATCTTATTCTCTCTTTATGAATTGTGTCATGGAGTAACATGAATCTAATAAGCAACCGAAAATAGTTTGAAATTGATATCTTTTTAAAATGTCCAAAGGCCTTTGTGGGCAGTGGAAGGCAGCAGGGGAAGTCATGGTCTTATTTTATTGTAATGTGCACGGTTTTTAAACTCCAAATTCAGTATTTGCCCATCTGTTTCTTTGAACAGTCATTGGGAAAAGAGCTCTTAAATTTCAGTTGAATTACAAAAAGGTTGCTTTGATAATCTATCACATTGAAGCAATTCAAGTTCGTGCTAATTCTAAACCTAAGGAAATTCTCCTTGTCGCCATTCATCAGAGGATATTTTGGGATCTTCCACAGCAATGCTCAGAATTTTTTAGCATATGAGTTCTCCCAAAGGTTTTTCAATAGAAGCATTTTTCTAAATAGGCTTTAAAAAGAAATCCAATAAAAGCAAACATAGTATGGCGGCAGCTGCCTAGAAAAAGAAAAAAAAAGCCCTCATAATTTGTCTATAAAGATTTATTTTAGGAAGCCCGTGCTGCTTTATAAAAATTCTAAAATAAGTACCAAGGTTTCAATACTGTAACACCAGTTTGTAGACTCTAAAATACTTACACTAATAGCAAGTGACTGGCTCAGAACATGTGATCACTCTTCTGCCGCTGACTACTCTAAACTGTATCCCCCACAGTCCAGTCCCCGGAAAGCAAGTTCCACCCTGAAAGGATGCTTTTCTAAAATCTGAGTTCTGCCAGCCAACAGCTTCTTGGGAGTCCCCTTGTGGCTTCCGGTCTGACACCACCTGGTCACCCCTCCCGGCCAGCAGCGTCCTTTTCAGAAGAGCCCCAGGTTGCTCCCTCACTACCGGTGGAGACACCAGGCAAAAATCCGAGGCTCTGGCAGTGAGTGACATGCCAATGACCCGTACGTACTGCCGAGTCATTGAGGACAGATTTTGAAGTCTGTGGCAGAACTGGTTTCTGGGAGAGGAAGAGACCCCTCTCACGTGTAACAACTAGGATTTGCACTCTTTGGGGGGAAAGGGCCTTATTTGCCATCACCCAGGTAAGTCCTGGAGGTCCTAGAGAAGCTTGTGTCATGAAACCAAATAGATGAGCAAAAGGCAAAAGGTGAAACGTTCAAGACAGCCTGTGGGAATTCACGAGAGATTTTAGCAGGAGAGACTTTGGAGAGGAACTGTGAAGAGGTTCACTCGGCTAAGCATGAGATCTCCTCCTGAAACTTTCTGAGGATGTTGCAATAGACATTTTTCCCTTTAATTAATTTGCATTGCCTGATCGGTGCCGTTGTGAATGTGACGCCCTCTGCAAGGGACCTGTTAGCCCTTCAGGCATCGCTGGAAACCCAGCTTTTCCAAACGGCAAATCTGAGGATGTTACTTCCCTCCTAGAAGCCCTCTGAAAGTTCTTCATCACCCTACTCAGCAGTGCACGACACGGCCCCTACTTTGGTCCCAGCACATCACTTACTATCACCCAAATTGTATGCTCCAGCGGTATATGAAATGCATATAGTTCCCAAAACACACTGTTATAAAATCGTGATTCCTAATAAAACCCCTGGAATTTCCTAAGTGAAGAGTGAGGTCAAGGTGTCTTGTTATGTTAATGAAGTGACTCTTGGAAAGCCCCTAAGGAGGTGGGGGCTGGCGGCCAGGGGAACCTACTAGGTGATTAGAGGGTTGGAACTTTTAGTCCCACCTCTGAGGAGAGGGGAGGAGCTAGGGTTGAATCAATCACCAATGGCCAAAGGTTTAGTCAATCATAACCATGTAATAAAACCTCCCTGAAAACCCAAGACCGATGGGAGTCGAAGAGCTTTTCAGCTGGTTGTCACTTGGAGATGCAGAGAGTGACGCATTCTGAGAGCACGGAAACTCCTCGGCCCTTCCCAACTACCCGGTCCCGTGCACAGCTTCTGTCTGGCTGTCCCTGAGCTGTAGTCATCAGTGATCTAGCAAGTGGGATGTTTCTCTGCGTTTTGTGAGCTGCTCTAGCAAATTAACCAAACTCAAGGTGTAGGTGGCAAGAACCTCTCCTAATAGTCATTTGGTAAGAAGTCTGGTACCATCCTAACCTTTGAACTGTTGTCTGGAGTGAGCGCGTGCATGGTGGGGGCGGGGAGCAATCCCATGCAATTGCATTCTTTACCTGTGGGATCTGATGCTGTCTCCTGATAGACAGTGTCCGAGTCGAGTTAGATTATAGGACGCAAAGATGGTGTCAGAAACACCTTGCAACTGTGATTTCCAAGGTCTTCGGGCCTTGGGGCTCGCTTCTGCCCCCTCAGTTTGACATGCCTCCCTACCCCATTCTTTCACTTGTCCCGTATACAACAAGTATTCGTTGAGCACCCGTTAAGGGTTAAGCACTGTTCTAGGCTCTGCGTGATCAAAATAGTGAACAACTACAACAATAGCAAACCAAACCAGAGAACGCCCTGGCCCGTGCAGGCCATTCATTGCCTTGGATAATTCTTCACGTCGTTCAAAACACACTCCAATATAAACAAAACGCAACATGTGGACCTCGTTTAAATCTTGTTTCAGGAATACGCCACCTTTTAAAAAATCACGAGACAAATGAAATTTGAATCTGCCCTATTTATTTATTTGAAAATATTAAGACATTGTTATGAATGTTTAGGTGAGATAAGGGTATAGTCATGGGTTTTGAAGGACGTTCAAAGACTGTACACTTCACACTTCACTCTCTTTACCCTTTCACCACATCCTTGAACTTGGCTGCAGGTGCTCGGGGTGTGTCACCGTTTCAGAGGCTGGGAAAACGCTGCTCAGTGATGGCGCGATCTAGCAGCTGCAGACGCTCTTCAGCGCACTCAGCTCTGTCCATTCCGAGATGAGATACACTTTGCAGGGGCTGCTAACAACCCCCAGTGTGGAACGAAACAGAGGCCAGGGTCACCGTGGCAAATTCTCCTGCACACCTGCACCACTGGGGCCAGCTTATCATGGTCTTCGCCATCTCGAGATCCCACAGGGCACACACCTTAAAGAAGCTGAACATATTCTTTAAAAAAAAATTTTTTTATTGTTGTTCAATTATAGCTGTCCCCATTTCCCCCCATTACTCTCCCCTGCTCCACCCACCCCCCAACCTTCCACTTTCAATCCTCCTGCACTGTTGTCCTTGTCCATGGGTCCTTCATACAGGTCCCTTGACTTGACCCTTCCCCTTCTTTCCCCCATCCTCCTCCTCCCCTCTGGTCATTGCCAGTTTGTTCTTTATTTCCATGTCTCTGGTTCTATTTTGCTCCCTTGTTTGTTGATTAGGTTCCTCTTATAGGTGAGATCAAATGGTATTTGTCTTTCACTGCCTGGCTTATTTCACTTTGTGTAATGCTCTCCAGTTCCATCCATGCTGTCGCAAAGGGTAGGAGCTCCTTCTTTCTTTCCCTTGTGTAGTATTCCATTGTGTAAAGGTACCACAGTTTTTTGGTGACAAATACAAAAGCCTATGTTATAGAAGAATATGATAGTTATTATTATATGGTTATAATCAACCAGAAATATGGTTATTATTCTAAGAATGTACTGAAGCCAATAATTATATGTTGATAAAAGATTTTAGAGAAACTCCTTTACAGACAGCTGTAAAGGAGTTATTTTGAAAGTAAACAATGTTTATAAATATTCAAGAATGTATTTAAATATATATTTATTTATAGCAGCAATTGTCATTATATAGGAAGATATATTTCATTAAACCAAGAGAAATCCCTGCCTATTCTGAACTTTCAATGTTCTCTACCCTGGGCACAGCACCTGGTTGCTGATACCAGAAGCCTGGCCTGAGCTTTGATTCCGACTCTGCCTGTCTCCTAGCTCCACCCGCCGGATTACCAAAGTGCTTGGTGCCCACGACCTAACTCTCTTTTCCTCTTCTCTGCCTGCAAAACTCCCATTTTTCCTTCACCATTCACAATTCTGCATAGCCCAGCCTGACTCTCCCAGATGGACTGAGGCCTTCCTAATATGTAATATATCTTAGTCATAATTCTAGTACAGCATATTATTATGTTATCATTATTTGTATGCCTCCTCCCTTACGAATGGGGTGGATCAGAGCCCATTCTGGTTCAAGGAGACTGATGGGGCAAATGCCAGCCAACGTCCACAAGAGGGAGCTCTATGTCAGGAATCAGAGACCAGAAACAAGCTCTGGAATCAAGGGGTCAGATTAAAAGAGTACCTGGAAGACATTGAGGAGACCTGGGGCGTGGAGGGAAGGACAGAAATGGGAGCAGGTTAGCTGTAGGAAGAGGGCTTGGAATGATTGCCACGAACATTGGTGGGGGGGCGCAGGCTCCCCTTTACTTGAGAGAGTTGTGGTATATGGGGAGGGATGGGGGACAGAGAGGTAGCTCCCACGTGTCTTTTTTTATATATAAGGGCACCAATCCCATCATGAGGGCCCTCCCTCATCTAAACCTATGTCTATTTTTCCCCCAAAGGCCTCACCTCAAATACTATCACATTGGCGGTTAGGGCTTCAACATGTGAAATTTAGGAGTTTCGATTCAGTCCCTAGCAGCTTGGGTGCCAGGAAAGTCTTGCTAGAGGAGGACCTTTGCAGGTGGGAGGACCTTTGCAGGTGGGTACAGAAAAGGGAAAAAAGGGGTTTTGAGGAGAATATATTTCAGCAGTTGCTAATCTAGTCCTCAAGTTTAAGGAAAGGGCGGAGACAAGAGGGGGCCCAAAGCAGGGTCGGGAGCAGAGTCAGTGAACTAGTAAGAAGAGCCGGTGGACTTAGGACACCAGCCTGGGAGGATGCACGGATGTAGTAGCACCTGGGCAGAGGCAGAGGGTGGAGCCCAAGGGGAGGGCGGGTGGTGTGTTGAACCTGGTCATGAAGGAGGGAGAAAGTCTTAGACACAAGCTCCCCTCTAGGCTGTAGCAAGCGCTCAGCAGTCAATGAACATTTGTTGAGTAACTAAGAACATGACTGTCCTGCTTTTGACGTTGATTAATTAATCTGATCCATGAGGAGTAATTTTTTTTATTTCTAATTTTTTTATCCTCACCTGAGGACTTTTTTTCATTGCTTTTAGAGAGAGATGGAGGGAGAGGGAGAAACATCAGTTGGTTGCCTCCCATACCTGCCCAGATGGGGGGTCCTATGCTCCCAGATGGGGAAACTGAACCTACCACCTGGGTATGTGCCCTGACCCTGGATTGAACCCACATTCTTTGGGTTACAGGACGAGGCCCCGGCCACACTGGCTACACTGGCCACATTGGCCACACTGGCCAGGGCGTGAGGAGTACTTTTTTAAACCAATTATTCTTATAAATTTCTCTCCTGGTTGCCCAGTTTGCAGGTTTTCTTTTTCTGCTACCCTATTTCCCCTCCCCTTCCTCCTAACTCTCCCTGAATATAAAGAGGTTTTGAATCCTCTAAACCGAAGGAGAGAAGGAGATTGAAGCTGACAATCCAGTTGGATACTTCAGGGGAAATCAGAGCACAAGACTTGATGTGGAAACAATCGACCATCATTTTCATTGGGCTGTGCAAGCCGTTCGATCTGTACCACGGGCGTAGTAAAAATGGACTGACCATCATTTCATCCGGGCTGTGGAGTGAGTGCAATTCACAGCTCAATAAACGCTGTTTGGGCTCTGGCTGTAACCTCGTTAGGATGTTATGTAACACAGGAAGGAGCCTATGGGGACTCAAGGCCACTTGCTGTCTGGTAGCACGTATTATCTTCCCACTCACTGCCTTGCCGGCGTGCACAGGTGCACGTGGTCCTTCCTCAGCTCTTTCTCCCGGGCTCCTGGAGCTGCTTCCTCCATCCTTGGCTGTGGTTCTGGGAATGTGTCCGCTGGCTTCTCCTCACCACGAAGGAAGTTCAATCAAGGTCACGGAAGTTTGTTGTCTCTCCTCCGTCAATGGACTTTATCTGAAAACTGCTTTGTCCTGCCAACTGGGAGGAAATCCGCATTGTTTTTTCACACTTGAGCTTCCCTAACGCAGGCACTGTCTCAGGAGCTGTGAGGGAGCCGCAGGGTTATTTCACCCACGTTTTGTTTGTTTTTTCCTGGAATGATGATGAGATCAAGGCCTGTATCCATGAAACGGTTTGTGAGAATTTCTGGCAGTCTAAGGTGTTTATCAGGACCGAGGTGGTGGTTTGAAGTTATTTCGCTCCTTTTCAGGCCTGTTATTCTCTGAGGACTTCAACCGTGTTGCCTGAAACTTCATCAAAAAACACTTCTGTGATAAAACTTTCTGAAGAGCAAAGGTTAGAAAGCCTCAGTTCACAATCTAGCCTGAGTCTACTAATGTTCAACTCCTCAAACTTTCAGGATGGTTAAAAATGAAGTTGCCATAAACCTGTGTCTGTTTTTTCAGACGATTGAAAGGCGACCATATATCGTTTTAGTGCAAAATATACTACGTCTCAAAGAAGCTCTGATCTGAAAAATAGTTTTGAGAAAAAACACTAGCCATAAAAATCATGGAATTTTTTAAATAATAGGGTGAAAATGGCCTTAGAGATCAATGAAATAGTCAGTAAGGTCCTATCCCTTTGCCAGTGAGAAAACTAAGGCCACTCAAATGACATGATTTGTACGTGGCGACAAAACTCCTTGGTTAAGGACAAGGATGCAGGTGGTCCAGTCCCCCAAGCCCAAAGCTGAGCGAAGAAAACTCCAGCCCACCGCACGCCCTCCCTTCCAAACTGCACGTTGAGGAAGATGTGTTTTGTATTAAAATTCCAAACTAGTGTTGTGCACAGAATGAAGGCCATGTCCACATATTTCCTTAAACATTGCCAAACAGGTTTCTTTTCTTTTTTTTTTTCAGGTCACTGCATTGCATTTTTCCTTTATTCTGAACTTAACAGCTTAGCGAAAGAGGAAGTCTGCAGAAATTTTTACAAGATGGGAATTTGCTTGGCCTCTGAGATGGCAGAGTTTCCTCAGACCTCGTAATCCTCTTAGCTAGTTTGATTTTCTTTTTCTTTAACTCCTTTATTTTTATTTAGCGAAGAAAGTCTGTTCATCACTTACCTCCTTGCCACCTGAGACCCTCTTGTTGAGCCATAAACATCCTAACTGAACAGCTAACAAGAGAAGAGGTGCAACCAGAAAACAGTGACAATTTTGCTGAACTGAGCAATGCTTCTTAGAAAATCAGAGGGAATATAAATTCTCTGAGAGGAAGCTATTCGCCTGTTACCATGAAATAATAACCAGCACCTTCTCTAAACCCTTCCATCAAGGTATCGAATCCCAATGTCCTTTCTCTAAGGTCAGGTACGGTCATCCCCTTGGAGATAGAAAATATATACCAATTAAATTAGAAAGATGAAAGATTATCAGAGTGAAGATTTTATTTCTCCAGGCTGCCTAAAGTTCCGAAGGATGAATATTAAATAAAAAGTTTTAAAGAATTTTAATTCAAACCTATTTTGTATTCTTGAGAAGCTCATCAGAAATAAATGCTGATGTGTCATCATCCAACAAGTTCAAAGTACTTTCTCTTTAGTAAAAAAAAAAGAGAGAGAGAGAGACCTCATGTTCTGCATAATCATCCCATCTTAAGAAAAGATTTTGATTTTACAGCAAGTGTTTTCCTCCCTCAGAATTAAAAAGAGCAAAAAATCCCAAGCTCTTGAGCGGAAAAATGATTGTTGTAGTATCTGTATTGAATTTGGCTACAAACAGTGTCGATACACTTCATGTCCAAAGCAGTATCATTGGAATTGCTATAGTGGATGGATAATTATTTTGCAATATAACCATGTATTTTACCAAAATATCTCTGTTATGTAATTGAAAAGTGAGCAAGTTTTAAAGCAGTGACTCATGACCACCCGCTACTTCTGAAAATCCCATGATACACATACCTATTATTCGGAGGTTCTAGATGGCTCTTTGTATCCTCCACCTTTGTCAGCCAACTCACTGGACGCTGTCAAGCTCACAAAGCTTCTGAGTGCTCTCCAGCCAATCTCATAACAAAAGATGACCACCGGACAGGCAGGCCTGGATTTGGGAGAAAACCTTAATCCCTCCCTAAGACCGTGATAGCCTGAGTCAACAGTGGACACATCAGGGCAGTACAATGGTTGACTTATAAAGTTAGTCCAGCCAGCCACGAGCATGAAGCATCTTCTCGTTTTTCCCATTGTTTAAAGTTGATTGGCTTTGTTCGTTGTAAGCTGAATGGACATAAAAAAAGAGGCAATGAAATCATGAGTCAGTCAGTCCATCTAAAATAACTCCCGTTATTTAAAACAACAAAAAACCACATGATATTAATTCAGTTTTTGATTTGAGAAGCTATATCTAGATAGAGACTTTGAGTTGTAACAACTAACAATACTCAAACTATAAAAACATGACTAAAATGCTCTCTATCGAGCACTTTTATTGACCTTTGGACAGTCTGAAGTCCTTGAAAGAAAGTCAAAAACTTCTAAAAAGGTAAAACAAACTGATACCATCACCACTTCTACCAAATAAAAAATAGCATGCATTTTTTCCCAAAACAAAATAATTAAGGTAAAGGCTAGGGCGGTTTCCAAAAAGACCCAGTGATTATATATCCTGTTCCCTACTACCTGAAGAACTATTATGCCTTATCTCTTTGCTGCAGTTTATTGCTTAATTGTGTCATATTAAATCTATGTAGAAAGGGATTGGGGCCTAAACTTATCAGTTAATCAGAATTCATCATGCTTTTTAAAAATAGCTCTTAACAGAATAGAATAGTAATTAAATTACACTTTAGTAGCAGAGTTCTCGCCAGATTCTGCTGGTGGCCTCTTTCTATAATTGGCTTATTATTGGTCCAGGCTTGACTCATAAATGTCTGTCATGGTTAATAACCATCAGGAGGCTTTGGTAAAGCACAGTAGTTCTTTCGCATTTGAAAAGCTATGTAGGATGTTGCTAAATCAACCCACTTGAAGAAGTTTTCAGATGACCTAGAGTTTGTCTTTATGACATGGGCAATTAGTATTTTGCTTTACTCTAGCAAATGTCTGCTTGAAATCTTGCTTAAGTTTCATGATTTCATATTAGAACAGCACTTCCCATAGATTCTGAGAATTTATTAAGCAATACGTTATTATCAAATATATTTCCTTACCACTGTGAATCTTGATAGAAGTATTAAAAACACCAATGCGTTGTTGATTTTGGGGTGCAAAGTTTTAAACAGAAGGTGCAGTCTAAATAAAGAATAAAATAGAAAATCAAAATAGAGAATAAGAATTTTTATCATTTCATTTAACAAATGCCTATAATTTTAATTTTTCAAAAAAATTCAATCTAATTCTAAATGTATTTAGCATAGTGAGGGTAGACAAATACAATATGAACAGACCTTTCTCGATGTGCCAATATTAATGTGTCTCTAGAAATATTCTCTCCATCAGCACAGGTAGGCTATCATGAATTAAGTTAGAAACATAGAAACATAGAAAAATTTTTGTTTAACACTGCATGCAGCTTGAGTGAGTTAACTGTTATAGCACATTTTTTCTCACTCAGTAAGAGAGAGACCCAAAACTTCTTTGCTGAACTCCCTTAATTCCTGTGTGATCAGACTTCTTTGCAGGGGTTTTAACTCCCCCAGCTGCCCACGCCACGCAGAAAAGGCACAGCAGAGAACTAAAGTGAGCCTCCAACTGCATCAGAATGTACTGACTTTTGCCTCAATTATCTCAAACTTCAGTAATACAGTATCTGTTCTGAATTACCTAAGCGGTTGCTTCAGTTTCTCCTATTAACTTTGTAGTAATCTACACATACTTCCCTAATCTTTAAAATGGGACCTGCTGAATGCTTCTTTCCAGTTTCTGATGAGGGAGAGCAGGAACTTTCTATCCCTGCAGACTTGTGACAACGTAAACACGAAATATGTCCCAGCATTCGGTCCCACGGACAAACCCAGATAGAGGTCTGGAATGCGCTAAATCACAGCCGTGACCATGACCATGACAATCGAAACGTGAGAAAACACTTGCCCAGAGGCGCATGGCCATGTTTTCACAGGGGTGGAGGGGCCCAGAGAGGATGTGTTCCTCTTCATTCATCTTGAGCAAATGTTTGTTTTGGTCTATTTTTGCTTCCTCTTCCACTTCCTACTAAACAAGTCACACTAGGACCAGTCATGTCAATATTTAAGGGACTCATTTAGCAGCTGCATTGTCTCTACTTCCTGTAAGCACCGAGTGCCAACGTGGAGCCGTTTCCCACTTTCAAAATAGGCTGTGAGCACACTTATCCCATCCTTACCGCCCCTTCCCCCGACTGACCTTCCCATGTTCCACCCAGGCAACTGCTAGCACAGGCTCATCCGTTCTGGAGTTCTGCTTTTTCTGGGTTTCATCCTCAGCGCTTCCAAGAAGCTGGAGGAAAGACGGCACATTAAGGCATTCATTCAACCTACTGACCTTTGCCATCAGAGTTCTCAAGTGCCGAGCCCCAGGCATCTGCATTTTTAGTACTTCCAATAATTTCCTCTTCCTGCTCGGAGCCACTGTTCTGTAGAGATGGGCTATTCTGGGTTGACTCTGACCTTTTTCCTTTCTATGATCACTTTAATTGTTTCTGTCCCTTTGTTCTCCTTCCCAAGATATGCCACAGTGTTTTCTTCCATGCTTTCTCCTGAATTTTTAATTTTTGCTATCATATTTTTAATTTCCAAGATCACTTTTATGTTCTTTTTTCTTTATGCCCACCCCCCTTTTCTTTAACAGATGTAACATTTCTTTTCTCACCAGGGATGCCAACATGATCATTTCTTTGAAGTCTTGAGCTTCTCTTTTCTTTGCCATGGGGTGTCTCTTGGATATTGGGAGCTTTCCCCAAATACCTGGCAATTCTGTCCATTCTCAGCATTGGAACATTACAGAGTTGGCTGGATGCCAGGGCCAGGAGAGGGTAAGGCAAGCAGAATGCCCAGGACCCAGACTTAAGAGGGCACACACCTACTCAGAGTTGTGCAAGTGCAAGGGTTGTAAGTGCACTAGGAGTAAGTGCTTCCTCAAGCGCCTCAGTCTGGCCTCAGTCTGGGCCCCCACGTGCTTCCCCTGCTGTGTGCGTGAGTGGCCTTGCAGAGCCTCGGGACTGGAGAGACAGAGGCTAGGAAATCCATCACATTGTTCACTTGGGCTTAGGGGGTGGGGTCAAGTGTTTGCAAGCCAGGACGTTTTCTCTGGAGAAGTTCAGGCTCCCCGGTGCAGGGTCCTCAGCCTGGCTAAAGGAAATGAGATCGGCTGCCCTTCTGGAGCTGGAGGAGCAAAAAGGCGCTCACCACGCAGTGTGCAAACTTGCAATTCTCCCCTTTTCAGCGTAGCATTCTACTCTTATTCTTCTCCTGGGGCCTCAAATCCTGAGCCTCTCTGGCTCAGTTCCTCCAGACAACAGCCCCTCTGAGGAGATGCGTAGTCATCTGACTACAGCGCGTGAGGGCAAGAAGCAGGGAGTCCTTGAAGTCCCTTGCCCAGACTTTCCCCCATACCCTGCTCTTGGCTCCCAGCCTTGCCCTTCCTTACCTCCACAGCACCTGAAGCCCCAACTTCCTCTACTGGCTTTTGTGTACACACACACACACACACACACACCCCTACCCCAGACACTTAGGTTCCCCTTCCACCTCTGTGACAAGTTATTTGTCATTGCTCGGACCACAGTCGGTCTCTGGGGTCATAAATGGCACTTCATTCCTTCACAATGGTATGCATGCTTTCTTTTCTCTTATTTCCCTTGTTCAGGATGAATTTTAAGGGAAGAGGGACTGGAAATATCTTCTCCCTCCCAATTTCACTCCTCTTTTTAAAAATATACTATTCCCCCAAAAGTTGTCTTTTAATCTTTACGGAAAATTATTTGCCAAACCAATCCTCTTCGTGAGCTGCTTCTTCTTAGCAATTCAGTGGATCTGAAGACAAGTGAATAGATTTTGCAAATCACACTTCTAACACTTGCTTCACTTCCAAACGTCTACTCAACTCAGGAGTTATAAAGTGCTTAGCATTTGACAAGGCCTATGCTAGTCTCTAAGGGTAAAAAAGTAGTTAAGGAGGGTCTCAGCTTTGAATAGGTTTGTAGTCTCCAGGGGGACACGAGCATATAAAAAACTGAGGACCAAGAACGGTTAAGGTCTCATGAAGGCCTAAGCAAGGGCTGGCTGGAGTTCACAGAGAAGGCAGGGTGAAGAGGTCAGGGAAGAGCCAGGTCGGGAAAGATAGGCTGGTGCACACTGGGGCCGGTCCTGGGGGTGGGATGAGGGGCATCCTGGGCAGATGGCATAGCAAGAGCTAAACTACACCAAAGTGCAAAGAGCTGGACGTGTTCTAGAGACTGCCACCCGTACTGTACAGAACAGCCAGAGGAGACCAGTGGACACTAGTGCAGGTAAAGATGGAGGGGGCAGTGAGAGCTCCAGTTCTACCCACCCCCCACTTTCCTCCAACCTCCAAGTTCAAGTCAATGGCTTTATAACTCTCTCATTTGCAGAATCTGTTTCCTAAGAGCTGAATCTAGGTCAGCCTTACGTCTTTCTTTGGCCAATGAAATTCAGCAGGCATGACAGTGTGCCCATTCTGAACCCAGGCCTCAAGAGACCTTGTATGTTTCTGCATCTGCTTTCTCGTGCACCTCTGCCATCCCCATAAACCATGCCCAGGCTGGCCGCCTGGACAACAAGGGAGATGTGGTCCAAACCAAGCTGTCCGGTTATTCCAGCTAAGTCCACCCTAGACCAGGCAAGGCCAGGCAACCCCCAGGCACAAGAGCAATTCCAGGCAAGTGCAAGAGAGCCTCCCAGCAGACCACCTCAGACAAGAGAACGATGAATGTTTCCTAAGTACGTGTCTGAGATTTTGCGGTTGTTCGTTACACAGCATTATCATGGCAATCGATGACTGATACAGGGAGGTGGTCATTAGACAGATGTGAAGGATTTTGTATGATATGCTTAAATTTATGCTTATGAAACAGAAACCCCTGAGGGTGTTCCAAGGAGAGGGACATTATCTGACTTGCCTTTTGGAAAAGTAACTCTGTCTGCAAAGTCTAGGTTGAGTAGAAAATGCAATCTTTTGTACTAGTTCGGGTGAGAGATGGTGAATGCCTGAATAAAAGCAACATCAGGGAGGACGGTAAGGTGGAGACAGATACCAGAGATGTCAAAAAGGCAGGTAATGTGGCGTGCAGTAACTGGTTGGTTGAGGAAAGAGAAGGGACCGAAAGGTGTAGTATGTTTCCCGTTTATGGGGGTTTGGTGCCATGAAATGAATTAGAACCAGGTTCTGGGAAAAAATACGCTAGGTTCATTTTTACTATATTAAACTTGAGCCCTTGCGGGACATTTAGATAGATAATTGGCACTCAGCTTTGTGTCTAGATCTGGGAGTCAGGCTCGGTGCAGGACTTTTGATACTAATATGAACTTCGCACTACCAGATGGTTAAGAGGAGTCATGAAGTTGGACGGAATCACCCAGGGGGAGAATGATGATTGAAAAGAGGGCCAAGGACAGGTGGGCACAGGGGGAGCCGTGTTCACGCTTCTTGCTGATGATGTGCGGCCGGCACAGAGCAGGGGACAGAAGTGCAAGGAAAATCAGGCGTCTCGAAGCCAGAGGGACGTTTCAAGAGAGAAGCATGAATGCTCCTTATCTGGTGTGAGTCGTATCTCTCTCATGAACAATACACCTCTATCAACATTTCAGAACCAGAAAGGGGTTGAAAAATCAAGAATGGAGCGTTGTAGTTACATCTCCACACTTATTTTTCAAATGAAAACAAAGTGATTTTATACGAGTTGGACCCTGTCACTCTGACAGCAAAATGAAATGTTCAAGTATTTCTGAAAGTATTTAAAAGAATCATTTCAGTAACTAACTGCAGGACCACCTTTAAGTCCCACAAAATTTAGGAGAGAAAAGAAGGATCATTCTTGACATCCATGATAAACTCTTTTCCATTGCAGGTGGCTGTCCCTAGAGGACACTGGAACAGAAGTTCAGTGGGCAAAAAGGTCATGTCCCTCTAGTGCAGGACACTCTGCTTGTCTGCGTATTTATAACTTGCCATTTGCATCAGCTGAGTTAGAAATAAGCCAGGAAGCATTCCGGCCAAAGGTGCAGGGACTTCAAGGAGCCAGCATGTTTTGTCTTCTGATAGAGTGCCTCGATTTCCATCTCGCCTTTATATGGGACAG